CACGAACATATATTTAATACTTTAATTAATATTTGTATTAAAATCATGTTCATGAAATGGACTATGCACACACACATAAACTCTTTAACAGATATTTAATACTTTAATTAATACTTGTTTTAAAATCATTTTCATGAAAGGGACTATGCACTCACTTGTTAAAGTGATGATTCCAAAATCGGGAAGCGCTTCGCTTCTAACAATTCTATTTTTCTTCGGCGAAACCTAGTATCATTACCGCTAGATTTAATCTATTATTTATAGCGACTATTTACGAGCGATATTGTTTTATAAGTGTTAAACAATACTTTTCAACCACTATGTACAGACAAGGGCCATACATGAAACACCGGAGGGCATGGCCATTTTGGCATTATAACACTTCTAAAATCAAACAACCCTATGCGGCCCTTCAAACCAGATTCCCCGTAGTGCGAGTAGTTATAAGATATTATAATAACACTTTGTATATTATATTTTATAATATATTTATTGTTTATAAGTTTATAATAACGATAATAAACTTAAACATAAGTTATAGGGTAAGCATATCTCACTTACCGGGGTTTGGCTAGGAACCGGGTTCTGCGGGGACAGAACTTCCAAGCCGAAAAGCTCTTTTTCTCAGAGCCTTCTGGCGCTCCTAGGGCTTTCCTCTAGCACTTAGAAGTTACTAAAGGTTGGGGAGGTTTAGAGAGAGAGAGAGAGAGAGAGAAAAAGGGTTGAGGTGTGACGAAAATGAGTGAGTCTCGCATGGTATTTATAGGTTGAAAAATGACTCAACTCGGCAAGTTCTAAGCCTCCAACTCGCATGGTATTTTGAACATGGCATGTTCTGGATGATTTGAGCTATCCTTTCAAACCCTTGGAGGGGTCCTTAATCATAAAAATGAGGTTCCAATGGCTAGAAGTGTCCCATGCATTTGGTAGAAAGGTCTTAATGGATTAAGACCTTGTATTAAGAACTTTTGGACATCTAAAGTCATAAAGTTGGAGACTTTATGACTCTATTGTGCATTTGGACCATGGATCTGCAATTTGGGCTTAAGTGCTTAAGCCATTAAGCACATATTGGACTTTTTGGATCTGCGAGGGTACGCCCTGCGTAGGGAGGAGTACACCCCGCGTACTCGGTCAGCCACCCCGATGGTGGTCAATGCGAGGTCTCGTGTACGCTGAGCGTACCTCCGGCATACGCCCCGCATATGCGACTGTTTTGGGCTCCTTTGCTTTGGGCTTCGGGGATTGGGCCATCTGTTGGGCTTTGATACTTGGGCCCTAATGGACTATCTGGATAAGTGTTTTTTTTGGGCTAATTAGAGAATCAGACCTTGGATAAGGCCCAATAAGGAGTTGGGCCCAATTTGGAAAAATTGGGCTAAGTGTGGGCCTTGAAGTAATTTGAGCCTTTTTGGATCAAGATTCAGGTTTGGTTTACATTGGGTTGTGTTGGGCCGTCTGGGATTTTATGGTTTGGGCTTTTGGCTTGCTAGATCTTCTTGAGTGAAGGCCATGAAAGGAATTAGGCCCAATTTGGAAAATTGGGCCATAATCAGACTTAAGGAGTTTATTTTGATGTCGGGCCTTTTGTCATTAGTTGGGCCTTAGCTTTAGCCATGCCTGAGGAAGGGTAAAAAGGTATTTTACCCCGAATTGGACTCATAGTATGAGTCAGTGGCTAGATGTTGATGGATTGTCATTTTCGTAACTGTTCATGGAATCAGTTGCTGATGGGGTGTTGGATGCTGGCGATTCGGGGATCTGGCAGCCAACAACCAGAGATCGTTTGTGTATTCGGCGGTGCGAGGTGAGTTTTCCTTACTGTGCTTATGGGTCGAAGACACCAATGTCGATCCTTTTGGATTGTTATTCTGGTTTATCGTATGCTTGTATGATGTAGTGATCTATTAGATCGGTATCCTGGTAGATAGGATGTTACTATGTTGTTATGATCTGTTAAATATGAATCCTGATAGATAGGATGATGCTATGCTTAGTGATCTGTAAGATCTGCCTGTTTATCTGTTTACTGGTTATATGTTTAGTGTTATGTACATGTCGACATGTGTGTGTGTGGTCGGGTTGAGGCGGCCCTGCTTTGTGCTAAAGGCCAACAGACCCAAGGCAGCCCCGATAGACTGAAGGCCCTGCGAGGCGGTCCAGTCATGCCGAAGGCCCGACGAGCGATCCGGATAGGCTGTAGGCCCTACGAGGCGGTCCAGTCATGCCGAAGGCTCGGGAGCGGTCCGGATAGGTTGTAGGCCCTGCGAGGCGGTCCAGTCATGCTGAAGGCTCAGGAGCGGTCCAGACAGGTTGTAGGCCTGGTGAGGCGGTCTAGACATGATGAAGGTTCAGTATACATGATGTTATTTGTATATGTTATCTGTTGGGTGTTAGTACTTTGGGGGAACTCACTAAGCTTCGTGCTTACAGTTTTGGTTTATGGTTTCAGGTACTTCAATGGGTCGTGGCAAGGTGAAGGCGTAACCGTACACATCCTCGCGTTTTGGAGTTATGATTTCTGGGAAACTCTGGTAATGTGAACGTTTTAAAAACTATGTTGAGGAAGGTTTTGATTTTAAAATAATGTTTTGGAATTAATGGGTTTTGTAAACTCTTCTATAGAAAAATGGTTGTTTTGAAAATTTTAAATTTTATGAAATTTTATGGATGTTACATTATATAACAAATTAATGGCTATTTGCAGAAAAATAATATTAGACAAATAAATAAATAACCCTTTGTCATAAAATATCTATCTTTTAAACATTTATCACAAAATAAAAACATTCATCTTGAAAAATGGATCTTTATGAAATGCCAAAATTTTATGAAACTACTTTTTTTCTTGACAAAGTAATGTTTTACAAAAAGTTTGTGGATCATCTTTAATTTTGCAAATATTCTGACCATATGTTGTTCACCGTTAAGTTAATTTTTGGTTTAACAAAGACTGTGAAATTCATTCTTTTTGGCAAAATATGAAAATTGTGTTTATATATTTTTATGAAACGCAAATCACACGAGTTTAAACGTAATCTACTTTTAGACGGAAACGAATTTATCAAAAATATTTATAATTAAAATATGATTAAGGGATAAAATAAAATGTGATTAAAAGGGCATATATTAGATGTAGAAAACAAGCGAAGTATATAATAAAAAAGCAAATAAACTATAAATTGTATTGAGTGCTGATAATTATATATATTTTTTTGTTTATTTACTAATTAATTATTTTTATTAAATATTTAATTGCATTTTATTTATAACTATAACAATCAATGTTTTTTATATGAAATATAAATTATATAACGATCAATATTTTTTATAATTATAACATAACAATTTTTTCGTATTATATATAAGATTCAAATGAAAACAATTATGAAATCGGGAACACGAAAACAATTATGAAATCATGGCAGTGGTGGTAATGGTGGGGGAGGTGTTGATGACGATGACGGACATTCAGATATGAATATGGTGGTTGGTAGCGGAGGTGGTGGTAGTTAGGGGTGAGCATAAGCGGGTACCCGCCTTAATTGTCTGGAACCGGAACCGGAACCGGAACCGGCGGTTCTTGAAATGTAGGAACCGGAACCGGTTACAACGGTTTTTCAGATTTTGGAACCGGTCCCGAAACCGCCGGAACCGGTTACTCGGTTGTTTTTTATATTTTTTATAAAAATTGACGATTACGACGTAAATAAAAAACTATTAAATGTTATAAACATTGACGATGAAAACTTTAATTTACAAAGAAAGATAAGCAAAAGTTTGAGGTAATTTAAACAAACATAATATATATGTAAACGTTTTACAAACTAATAAAAAAAAAGAAGACAAAGAAACAGTGATTTGAATTTGATAGCAAAAAAAAAATATTTAAAAGTTCTGTGATTCAATGTTCAAATTTAAAAGACAGGATATTAAATATCCGAATTTCCACTCCAACTAGTTCGTAACTTATTATATGTTATAAAGGCTTAACATGCTAATGAGTTTCATGCAATTTCGTTTTTAGAGGTACCCTGTTCCGGTTCCAAAAGCGGGTACCCTGTTCCGGTGCTCACTCCTAGTGGTAGTGGCAGGGGTAGCGGTGGCTATGGCAATGGCGGTTGCGGTCGCAGAGTTGGTAAACGCGAGACTATACTTACATTTATATCCACAGATGAATATTTAATTATATTTATATATGAATGAGTATCTGTCTATTCTCAAGTGATTATTCATATATGAATATGACGGTTGGTGGCGGAGGTGGTGGCGATGGTGGTTGCGATGGTGGGGGTGGCAAACGCGATGATATACTTATCTTTATATTCAGATATGAATAATACATTCCTCCGTCGCACCGGTACGCTAAAGGGTTCTGTAGAAAAAAAATGTGGCCACCAAACAATAATGCAATAAACACATGCGTCGATACTTATTTATTGTCGTGTTATTAGATAAGATTCTTTTTTTAAACGACCGCATATATGTTATTATATATGATAATTCAGTTTTTTATACATCTTTCATTTGGAATTTTTTTAATTCTGTTAAAAAAAACTAAGGTTGTCTGCTAGTAGCGACTTATATTACATTACATGTGAAGTACGTTTGATAAATTCATTAAAGATATTGGTTTTGTTGTTAAAGTCAAAAATACTTCGCAAAAATGTAAAGCAAAAATCTTTTTTTGTTCATATATGCAAGAAAGCTCACAGTAATACCGACATGATTGACAACTAAATATTTCTACACTCATCTAAATCATATAAAAGGAAAAGGAAAATAGGTCAAATTTGTGAAAAATAGCCAAAAGTATATACAAATGCACAACATCCTTTAAATAGATTTATTTTAAGAAATAATATATTTTTATCATACTTAACATAATTATTATTTTTAAAATTTAAAACAAAAGTTACTTCTTCTGATTTGTATTTTCCTTATGTCTTCTTAAATATCATAATTAGGAATATTGAACAAAAATCCAAACACTTACAAAATTCACATAAATGTATATAACATTTCATATGGGATAATGCGAGTATGGAAAAAAAAAATTAACTTACAAAACTCCTTAGGTTGCAACCCAAGTAACAGGCTGCATTAGATGGGCCAGCCCAGCCCAAAGTAAAGAAACTCAACTCTACAATGATCTATTCAACCTTTAGCCCATATCCCCTACTAGGCCCAAAGAAAGCCTAATTATGTGTCCTAAATAGTAAATACGTTGTTTTTCATTTTTGGACGGGCTTTTCCTCAAGTACACGGAGACCATGATCTTCACATTATGAAGTTTATTACCGATGAATCTTGTCAACTTATTACTATAAGAAGAAGTTCTTTTTCGGTTTAGCCCAACCCTAGACCAGATTGGCTCAAGCTCTAGCTATGGGCTAAGCTGTCTGTTTCATTTTTTAGATCTCGTTGTTTCTTTTCTGGTTTTGCCACATCCATAGCACGAAACCAAACACGACAAGTAAGATAAGTGATGGGCCTAGCCAAACCCATCCGCTTTCGTTCTTTGTCTTTAAACCCATTTGCCATACTTTTAGGGAAGCAGTCACAGTTACATTAGTTGCATTATTGAACAAGAAGATTTGAGCATCATCGTTGATCGCTTCTGTTGGATAAACACGTGAAGTAATGCATGTTCTTCCTCCTTGTGCATAACCCTCGACTATCGAATGATCCACCTATAAAAAGTCCAACATTTGTATATCAAGTCTAAAGAACCAATTTATGATCTATAGTTTTGAGTATTAAGCATGAATGACTTAAAAAGAAGAAAATTACCAAAATTCTCATGGATAATTTTTCGTCCTTCAGGACGGGAACTGTGCTACCATAAATAGACTTATCGACATCTTTTGCAATGGAAGATCTAACAAAATAGTAACATTAACTAATAATTAGAAAAAAAAACGACTAAAAACCATCCAAGATGCTACATTGGTTATAAATGTACACAGTTGATGCACAAACAACATGTCTATGATCAAGGAGAGAAGAAAAACAATACTTTGATTGATCGATACAGAAGAATGTACTAAGATCTCCACGTTTGTCTTTGGCAATGTAGAAGTAAGTAGGTGTGTATTCGGTGAGGTTCTTGTTTGCTAGAACCAATAAACCGAATGGTCCCAATGCATCTCTCACACCGGCTCCACCATGATGCGCACAATTATATGGCACTTTGGATCCTACCTTTAAACCGCTAACAACCTTTTTATCTACCTCAATCTCAATCATAACATCCAACTGTGAATAAGAGAATTTGTAACTAAAATATCATCTACGTATAAAAACTAGAAGTCTTTTGAATATATACAAGTTTAGAGTCTTGTGAGTTTATGGTTTTGCATTTAACATACCTGAGATGTTGGGCCCACAGAGAGTGGCTCTAGAGACCCCGGTTCAAGTTTAACCTTATTAAACTCTTTAAGATTTGACCTTAGTTTATCCAACTCTTCAATCGGCCATTGGAGCAAATTACTACCTGTCTTTGGATCTAGAGCAACCGTTCTTGGAAGTGCCTAATAACATTTACAAATTAACAAACTTAATGAAGATTATCATAAAAACAAATCTAACCAAAGAAATGCATACCATGAGAGATGCCCAACCCTTCTTGATATCCGTTTTTTCACTATCAGTCTCTTTAATCCAACTCCACAAGATCCTTCTTTTCTTATGTTGATCATAGAACGTTTTTGATGCATAGTAAATCCCATAATCATATCGTAAACCGATTCCAACATCAATTGAACGATCATCAGGGACCCATTTTCCCTCCCTCAAATCATAATCCCCGAGTGCATAATAATCACATCGATCATCGTCCATGCTAGCTTTAAGAACATGTTTCACACCGGGCCCAAAAGTCCCGGTATCAAGCCCAAAATCATCTTTTGAAACCGGATAAAAGTCAACGCATTCCCACATTCCAGTTCCAGCGACATCATGAAGCCACCCATCTTGAAGCTCATAACTTTTAAAATCATCGGTGTCATACAATAAAGCGATTCCGGTTCTATTAACTTTTGAACCAATCACCATCCGCCACTTACCCTCGGGGGTCAACCATGCGGTGGTGGGGTCACGAAAGTCTTTTATGTCGATCCATGATGGTGGGACCAGGACCGGGTTCGCCGGGTCCTTGACCCAATTGACAAGGAGCGGGTCAGATGGGTTGGCCGGGTATGCTAGGTTTTGGACTTGAACCGATTCGTTGGTTGAACCGGTGTAGAGTACCACAAGTTTGTTATTTGGTAAAATGGTTGTGGATCCGGTCCAAACACCATTGACATCATACCATTCGTCCCTTTCCATTGCTATTGGAAGGTGTCGCCAATGAACCATGTCTCTTGATACAGCATGACCCCACACGATTGGACCCCACACGGCTGCCTCAGGGCTATATTGGTAAAATAAATGGTACCACCCTTTATAAAATACCGGACCTATCATAAAAATGATTACACATTTAGAACCATAACATCACCTAACATTAGAAAATAGTTATTTAATCAAGAAATATGTAAATAAGTTACTAACTTACCATTTGGATCTTTAAAAAAATTACACCATCAAAACGAAGCCAAACCACCATAAAATCAAATAAGGAAAATGAAATAAATTAGTATTTCTTGAGATATATGTAATGGATTGTTTTCAAAAAAATAGAAAAATGGATTAGATCTTGAGATTTTTACCATTCATCCAATTTTCCCCTGGATAGAAATGGAAGGCGGGTGCTTGCCAATCCAACATGTCGGTATCCCACGAAAAAGAAGATACGTTTGCAGGTAATATGAAAGATTTATCTGACACACCTTGTTCGACTGGATCCATCCTTTCTGGTAATTGAACATCATTGTCATGTGTGTGAATGTGGATGTTTCCGACGATCAATGCCACCACCAAGCTGGTGGCCAACAACCCAGATATTAGTAGTAGAAGTGACTTACTGGGTTGTTGGTCATTTTCTTGAGCTTGAGAAGGGAGATTCGCATCTAACAATGGGACATAGCCGTGATCGGCTTCAATAAGAGAGGAGTGAGTTGGGTTTTCGACATCAGATGAAGTTTGAGATGTCATTTGTTAAAACTTTATGGCATTTGTTAGTTTGGTGGAGTTATGGTGGCTTGTATTTCAACTTATTGAGGTTAATATGGTGGTTTAATTTTATGAAGTAGAACAGAAGAGTGTTGGAGAAATATAGGGAGAGTTTGAAACATGTTTGGTGGAGAGAAAATGTAGAACACAAAATAGGTGTTAGAATGCGTTTTTCTGACATTTTCCTTATTTTATGGTGTAGTTTACATCAACAAAATATTTTCAAAGAAGTAGAGCTTAAATTACTTTTAATATTAGAACAATTCAAAAAATCGTTATTGATTATTATAATTGTACTTCCAAGGGGTTTTCGGAGTTTTGTTATTGAATGATGATGATCAAATAATCCGTTAAAATAAGAAATGAACGGGTCTACTATATCATCGATCTTAAAGGCCTCTAAAAGCGCATTAATATATTAAAAAGTGCTATGCAAGTTTTGATTTGACATTACTTATACTAAATCTTCCAAAAAAAAAAAAAAACGAAAATACACTTTGGTAGAAAGTAAATGGTAATCAAGTATCTAAATATTCCATTACAATTTAATAATTTCTTGATTTATAATCAAACTAAAATACACTTTAGTTGTTTTTGCAGACGCTTCATTGATGTTTGTATTTTGGATACATGTAATGTCGATTCTCTTTTATGTTTGTGAAGATATTAATATTATGGAAATATTGTATGATCCTTTTGCTACGTGATCTCCATTTCGCAAGAGATTGATTGTTGGTGGAATGTATACGATTAAAAAAACAAAGGATACAAAAAGAGTCGAATTGCTTTTAAATAAAAGTTACAAACCACAAACAACATAAACATATATGGGATTCCATATTTCCATTATGAAACTTTTGATATTGATCAAATCACTCAAACATTTGGTGGTGGCCATATTTTTCCAAATAACTCTTCCACCCTTTTTGCTTGGTCCGAATAACCATCCATCCCCGCCGCCAAAAGCTCCAATGCCGCGGGCCCCATCGCAGACGCAAACTTAAGTTGGTCCCACTTCACCAACTGCAAATATCAAATACACTGTTATTCTTTCAGTAACCCCTGAGCTGATCCATACTCTGTCAATACTTCACCTCTTCTTCAGTAAAGTTATATGCAACAGCTGATTTTGAGGAGAGTCTTTCCACAAATGTATATTTATCATCATCAGGAGTAGTGGATTCCTTTAATGCTTGCAATATCTTCAATGGAGTGATTATATAATCCACCCTGTAAAATTATTACATATATAATATATTTCAAAAAAAATTATAATATGATATTAAATAAATTGTACCCTAAAAGATTGAAAACATCCTGTTTGTTTCGGACTGAAGCAACCATTAATTTGGATTTATGCCCGTATTTGTGAATATAATTGTAAGCTTTTGTCACCTACAAAAAAAAAGGAGCTTTTATTAAATGACAATTTCTATAATTGTCATTTAATTGTCATTAAATAATGAGTTATGAGATTAACCAAAGCCAATCCAGGATCTTCTCCTCTTTTAAGAGCAGCTTCTATTTCAGGATCACCACTGTGGTTGCGAGCCCAATCCTTAAAATGTATAAAATTAGGGTTTACTAATTACTACTTTTACCATATTGGAATTTAATAAATGATATCAAAAAATAAAATAAAAAGTAAAAAATTAATTAATAGTTTAATTACCCTAAGGCGACCCACAAATATTTGAATAACAGAGGCACCAGCTTGAGCAGCAGCTGCAGCTTGAGAAAAGCTGAAAAAACAGTAAAAAGAAATAAAATGACAAATTTAAATGGAAGTTAAATGAGTAAATAATAATTGATACCTGTATACAAAAGTCATATGTGTTTGTATACCCTCAGATTCCAACAATCTTGCTGCTTCAATTCCCTTAAGAAAACAATTATCTTGTATAAAACTTTAATGACATAAAAAAAAATTAGAAAATTTAAATATCTCATTGCTTACTCACTTGCCAGGTGGCAGGGATTTTGAACAATAAACGCTCAGCAGGGACATCAATACTATTGTACAAATTCAACAGGTTCTCAACCTACACATCAGTAATTTATAAAGGGTATAAAGGGTATAAATGTCAAGAATTATAATTTGTAGTAATACCTTTCCAACAATAGCATGGGTGTCGTATGCTAAACGAGCATCAACTTCAGTTGAAACACGACCAGGTACTAGCTTTGATAGCTCACCACCAACATTTACTAAAGCCTGTTGTTTGCCATTTACTCATCAAAAACAATGAATAAAGAAAGTAAAAAGTTGATTATTGATGCCAAAAATGGAAGATTTACCTTATTCACAAAACATGTCATGCGAGCTTCTGGGCTCTCTAGACCATAGCAGTGTTTATCTGCTAATGCAGTATCCACAGCACCCTAAACATAAATGGTGAACATAGAAGAATTGCTATAACTGGAAATGAAAACAAAGTTTAATCAAATTGATAGTATACATAAACACAAGTTTTACCTTGAAAGCTGTATCAGGGAGGCTGCAAATGCCTAATAGAAGAGATGAACTAACAGTTGCAGCAGTTGGAGGAAACCTATGTGTAGTTCAGAAGGCAATCATTTAGTTTGAAGAACAGTAAAGCATAAAATCAATTCATCAATTGAATATATACAACCTCTCGAAATCATCGAAGACAACTGTATCCGGAACGACTTCGCTAAAGCGTGATAAAGCGTCTAATTCAGTCCTTCCACCTACAAATTAAAAGAAGAAATTAATTAACTAATACAGTTAGAATTTCCTCAATTTGACAAACGAAAGTTAAATTTGATCTACCGGTGTTGGGAGAAGCGGAGAAATCGGTGAAGGAGGCTCGGATTTGAGTGCATGATCTGCGAGAGTTGAAGGCGGGAATCGGTAATACGGATCGAACAGGGATTGTTGATCTTCTGTTGTGCTGGTGATTGATGAGTTGATCAACGGGTGAACTAGAAGTAAATGAAAAGAATTTTGTTGAGGATATGTGAGGGCATTACCTGAAGGAGAGTGGAAGAAGAGGAGAGTGAAGCAGTGTGGAGAGAAGCAGCTGCTGCCATTTTCGATTGATTTGCAGGTGAAGAGAGTGGGTGTGGAATTTGGGGAAGATGATAGAGAGAAGGTTTTATATTTCTACTCCCTTCAGTCCTTCACTGCTTCACAGATCACTGTTTTTTTTTAATATTTTAAATTCTCTTTTATTTTTAACATAAAATCTGTATATTTATGTCATTTTATCCATTTATATGAGATTTGTCTAATCATTTAATACAATAAAATATCAATCGGTCATTTATAAAATAATTGTAAACTTTTCTGAATTCGTATAACAATTTAAACATAACAAAAGATGTTTATAAAAAATACACTATAAGGGAGCATGACCGATCCTGAGAAATTAAATATTCTTAAAGGTCGAAGACGAAACAGAAAAAAAAAGTCTTTATCGTTATTATAAATTTTTATTTTTAAATAAAAATATATAATAAAAAAAATTGGATCATATTCAGCTATCTAACTTGACCTCCTTAACGCCTCATGTAAATCCTTAACGCCCCATGTAAAGGGGCATGAAGCTTTTAATACTTAGTTTAGTTTTTATGTAATTTTATACTTTTAAAAACTTCCAATTAATTGTAGAAAATTTCTATATAAATAGAAGTTGTTGGCTTGTTGCCGAATAATTTTGTATAAATAAAAGTTAAAGTTTTCGGTTTATGTTTAGTAACTATCTATTTTTAATTTTCACCTAATAAATAAAAGTTAAAATTTTCGATTTATATTTAGTAACTTTCTACTTTTAACATTCACCTAATATCTACCAATTAATTTTCCAAAGATACTTATATACAAATATAGATTTCCAAAGAGACTCATATACAAATAGGCAAAATGGTTTTTTTTTATGTGTTTTAATGTTATAAATTTATAATACATGGATTGGTACAAAAAAAACTCATGATTTTCAAGGTAGACTTTCAAAAAATGTTCGATTTGGTATCTTGGGACTTTCTTGACCGCGTGATGATTTTCTTGGGATTTGGTTCCAAATGGTGTTTGTGGGCCCGTAGCTGCTTGGTTCGGCCAACACTTCTGTCTTAGTCAATGGAAGTCCTTCTATGGAGTTTTCCCTTTAAAGAGGGTTACGTCAAGGAGATCATCTTTCTCATTTTCTTTTTATTTTAGTTATGGAGGCTCTTCATGTTGCAGTCAATGATGTTTTAGCTGCAGGGTTCTTTTGAGGTGCTATGATTAGTTCTCTTGAAATTTCTCATTTACTTTATGCATATGACGTGTTATTCTTGGGTGATTGAGATCGCTCTAATATACGTGAGATTGTTCAATTATTGCATTGTTTCTACCGTGTCTCTGGCCTAAAGCTTATTATGCATAAATCTAATCTAGATGGTGTAGGTGTAGATTTTGAAGATGTCAAAATTTTTGCTGGAGTTACTAGATGCAAGGCAGGTCAACTTTCCTTTTTCTACTTGGGTCACCTTGTTGGCAATAATATGTCGAGGTTCAAAAGTTGGGATCCTATAATTGAGAAATTTAATAATAGGGTATATAGATGGCAAGCTAGTATGCTTTCAATTGGTGGTCGCTATGTGTTGGTTTCAACTTTCTTGAGGTCTCTTGGTATATATTACCTTTCTTTATTTCGCATGCTGATTCAAATTAAAAAGAAATTAGAGTCTACCCGATCTAAGTTCTTTTGGGGTTCTGACCAGAGCGAAAAAAAAAATTACTTGGATTGCCTAGAACTTGATTCTTGCTTCTAAAACTAGTGGTGTTCAAAAATATCCGTATCTGAAAATCCAATCCGAAAAATCCGAAATCCGATCTGAAATTATCTGAAGTTTCGGATATCCGCTTTTCGGATTCGAATATAGATATTAGTTTTATAAAATTTCAGATATTTCGAATAACCGATGTACAAAAATATACACTTTTCTATATGTTTTTTTATTATTTTATGCTATTATTT